ATGAATGTTTAGGGGAGTGGGCAGCTTCTATTTTTCCTGCAGTAGGTAGTGGGCTTGGACCATCAACCTTGCAGTTGGGCCCAACATCTACCTACAATGCGAACAAGGCTCCTTATAGCATAGTGTGATATATAGCATATGTCTCAGACATACAGCCACGGTATTTTCAGTCATCTCATTTGCATGTGAAAGTTGTACAATAAATAAAGAAGACCACAGAAGTTTTGAAGCATTTAAATTATGGTATTGGTGAAGAATTTTCCGGGGACTGCCAAAGAACAAACACATCTGTCTTGGGAAAAGTACAGCCAGATGCTACTTAGAAGCCAGGATGACAAATTTGAACTTTGGGCATGTTATTAGGACGGGCCTTTCCCTGGAAAAGTACATCATGCTAGGTAAACTAGAGGGTCAGTAAAAAGAGGAAGGCTCTCAATGAGCTGGCTACAATGGGCTCATGCATAACCATTGGTAGGACAATGCAGGACTATGCTGTGATTCATTGTCGTTTACACAGGGTCTCGCTGAGTCATCACCAAATGGAAAGCACCTACCAGGGAGAAAGTACTGTGGTGACAATTTTATTGACGTTTCCAGGACAATTTTAAATTCGGGGTATGAAAGTGAGTTTGAAATTAAATTCATAAAATTTTTATTCTAGAATGAGAGTTATAGCATTATGATTTTTTGGAAAAATATTTCCCCTGGATATATTATTTAAATTGAAATAGATACATGAAAAGTCATGCTAATAAAATGTGATGGCATAACTTAGAATAGAAGAAAATGCTTTTAAATTTTCAAACTAAATATAGTAGGAAACAATATTTTAATCTTCTTACTACTTTTCATGATCTAACTTGGATTTTAAGTCACTTATCAATAATTAGAAGATAGATGCTTCTGTAAGACTTTTTTTTTTTCTTTCCTTCCAATCTTATCACACATAACAATTTAGCAGGATATCCTAAGGAACAATGTTCTTAAAAAAAATAATAATTAGCCTCTACTTTTAAAATGTTTTCTTTCCTGTTTTAATAAAATGTAACTCAATTGTTATTTTCATAACTAGTCCCTTTGGGTTGGAATTAAATATTCTCTTTCAAGTTCATGTGCGTGAGTATGTGTTTGTGTGTGTGTGTGTGAGAGAGAGAGAAAGACGTCTGATGTCTTATTGCACTATATATGCCAATACAAAATACTCTATCACTTTTAGGAAATCGTATATTCCAAAGGGATTGATTTTTACCAAAATCTTGATGGATAAATCAATAAAATAACAACGATAAGGCCTGACAGTTCCGAAGACCAGCAATTCAAAACAGACCCATCAGCAGGGCTGCCCTCCCTTTGGGAGCAATGGGACAGACTTCTTCCCTGCCTCTTTGAGCTTCCAGCAGTTGTTGGCATGCCTTGTCTGATGGCTCCAAACGCTCTTTATCCCGGTTTTCACAAGGCCCCGTCCTCCTCTCCATGCTGTTTTCACTTGCCCCCACAAATCCCCTGCCTTTCAAAGGCAAGGGTACACGTCACTGAATTTGGGAGCCACTCAAATAAATAATACGGTCTCCCCATCTCAAGGTTCTACACAAATTAATCGGTGAGACCATTCCCCCCGAAGGCCACGGGAAGAGATTCCTAGGCTTATGAGGTGGACAGATCTTGATGGGAACTCCCCTGGAAATCACTGCAGAAAGCATGTAGGAATTCTTGTACAGTGTCTGCTGCTTAGCCACAGTTTGAAATGATTAAAAAGCAAATTTAGAAAACAAACCAAAACGAAAAACTGATTACATTTTAAAATAACTGTCCTAATCTAAAGATCATACTATGGAGCTTTCTAAAGACTCATGGAAAAATCTCATTATTTTGGAATTCCATCTTCCCCTGAACTTTTTGAAGTCCCATTGTAAGATCTGAGGGACAAACTTCTTTGTAAAGATAAACTTTATAAACAAAATGCACAGAGATATGTCGCTTAAGAATACATTGTGTGGATTTATGCTTCATGATCATTCACTATTCGAAGGTAGGGGGCATTTTGTGATATCAAAACACTCATCATGGCTTTCCTGAACTGTTGCTTTAAGTGCCTTACAACATTGAAGAGAGGAAAGTCCACTCCTATTGCAAAAGGAATAACTTTGTTCCCAATTTTAGAATCTTGACCAAAATAACTCAGTGAGACTCCATATCATGTCCATTGCCACAAGATGACAACTCTTAGCCCTGGGGCCCAAAGGGTCATTTTTGGTATTACTTGATTTTTCTGCTTTTCAAATATATATTATGTAATATAGATTATATGTAATCTATATTATATAAACACACACATAGAGATTTTAAGTACTTAAGTCACACTATGAGGCAGTCATTCTGTCCTAAAGTTCATAGTTTCATGAACTAGAGCTGTGGAAAGATGAGAAAGATGAATTTAACTTGGTAAATGAAAGAGGCCTTTACAGTGCCTCTCTGTATGGAAAATAAAAAGTGAATAATTTAATCAGATGAATTTATGCTCAATAATATTGTGTCCACACGTAGCTGGTGTCGTGAGAATCGAGATGAATCATCTATTGAAGCAATTTCAGCAGAAAGGCATGCAACCATGTGCCCCTGCACACGTGTGACAGACAAACGGAAACAGAATGATTTGTCTTCCCCTAGAACTAATAGAGTAGTCTAACAGAGCAGCAATCATAACGAGGGTGTAGGATGAGGCCGTGTGCTATAATATTTCTTGGTGTGCTGTATAAGGCTGCCACAAACTGTCGCTAACTCAATGGCAACTAACAGCGCCCAGAGCATAAAGATGGAAGAAAAAGCATGCTGACTCACTCAAGGACTTACCTGTCTCGCCATCTGGATCAGTTACTCTAGTGGAAGCGATCTTCTTGAGACTTGAACAGTGTGTTTGTCAGCTCTCTCTACACCGTGTCTAGCACATTCTCTGGGTTAAGTCAACGTTGCTTTCATAATTGCATGCATGATGACTGATTAAATGACTTAATTCACGTAGTAGCCAAGTATATTCAAGCATAAATGTGTTCAAATTGAATCAAAATGAGGTTGATGAAACATTCAAAATATGCATGTGTGCGTATGCACATATATGATTTTGTTTTCACCAGCAGTTTTGAAATAGTGTGGAGTTAAAGGTTCTAAAGCTAAAAGCAACCTCAGGTGGTCATCTGGTTCTATAGCTTTCTTGAAAAGACAAGGAATTATTATTCCCATGATCTATTAAGCCACCTTTTCTTTAGCATGTGACAGCTAAGGTGATGCTGATCAAAAATTATTGCTTTCCATCCTTAAACAATTTCACCTGCACATAGATGTTTAATAAGTGCTTTTTGGGGCTGTTATGAGAAAACACCAGCAGCCTTGGTAGGGAAGTAATTTATGACTGCTAGGTAAGCGGTGTCCAAGATTGCCATACTCACATTAGCCAGGCCGAAGCCGCCTTCCTCCACACTACCGTTTCATTTTAACCCTGGTGACAAATGTGATACAAATTAAACAAACAAACAAAAAAAAAACCATGAGGAGTCTGACTTTTCTGGTTTCCCGGTTCCTCCGTCCAGTGTCTGCTGCCCTGACACATCTGTCAGTGGGTTAACAGAGGCAGGAGTGGAAGGGAACCCAGCAGAGGCGGAATGGAGAGAAGGCCTGTGTCCGTGACTCCCCTCCCCACCCTGCCTTCCCCTGTGGTTCATTAACTAGAAATGTGGAGAGGTGAGAGAGATGAATTTAACTTGTTCTGACATTAGTTAGAGATAGGAAAGTGTGGCAGCTCCCATAATATTTCTGCCCCAGAGAGAAGTAATTGGAAAACATGTTGTGTGGTTAGGAGTTGTAATGAAAAATAAAGGAATGATCGTGGAGAACAGTGGAATCAAATTATAAGCATAAAAGGCAAGTGTGCTGAAGTTTTTAGTCTCGTGCAGAATTGGGAGATACTATCAGCACTGTGCAAATGTACTGCTCTGATTAATTTTCCTGGGGTGAAAAACGAAAATATTTATAAAATTGAGAAGCCTGCTATGAATAAAATATTCTTTGTGATTATAATAACCTAAACTCAGCCATAGCATGTGTCTGTCTTAATGAAACTGTAAATGTTTATTTAAATAATAACTGAATGAAAATGTTTCACTGGGAGAGAAAGAAGAATGTGTATTTGGTGTATTACTCGAAGTTGCTTAAAATGTGGAATAATATTCAATAATGGAAGGAGAGACTAATATGTATTATGAGGCTTTATATTTGATTGTCTAAATGGTGTTATATGGGCACTGTATTTTATTACCTTTTGCTAAACCTCTTTTCCTTGGATAAAAGCTATCACTTTTCAATATGAAGGTAAAAGGCTACTATTAAAAGGCATTCAGGTTCAAGTGAATTAGATCTTTAGCTCTAATGATATTGAACAATTCAATTATAGTTGAGGAAGGGTATATTTAGATTCTAGTTTTTCTTTTTAGACATTTAATGAAAGATTTTAATTGTACATTCTCTTGTAGATTCCTTAAGACAGTATGTGGAAAAATCACTTATCAAATGGGAGAGTTCATTAAGGAAAAAACGAGTACTAATATACGGAGCATTTTTCCTATATCAAGTTCTAGAAATATTCCACTGTCAATCTAAACAGAACAAACAGAAATGAGATAATTGGGAAGGTGCCTAAAAAGGCAGCCTGAATATATTATCACAAGTATATATGAGATAATATTTGTTTTAAAAAGATTCTGTGGCACTGTAAACTCAGTCTCATTAGAGCCTGCATTTAAAAGGCTTATAAAGTTACTCATTAATGTTATCTTGTTGTATCTCCACAGCTTTTTCATTAAAGAAAATTCAGCAGAAAGCATTTTCTCCTGATAGCAGGAACCAATTTGCAATAAATGTTCTGGAAACCACTAGGGAAGCCATTACTGAGGTCTAATAAAAACAGACAAGCGTAACTTGTTCTATATTTTTGTTTCAATCACATGCAGATGAGACCCCGCTTTCCACACCAACCGCGAGAGACAGCCTGGACAAACTTTCTCTGACTGGCCACGGACAACCACTCCCTCCAGGTTTCCCATCTCCTTTTCTGTTTCCTGATGGACTGTCTTCCATAGAGACCCTTCTGACGAACATACAGGTAGGACTTTCTTCAATCTGGAAAGAAAGGGTACACGGAAGATGCAGTGGAAGACCCAGTTCTTCAAACTTCATTCTATTCCACCCCATTCTCCTTGAGAGAGTGTCTAAAACAATGGATTGAACTTCCCTCCTTCTCCAGCCAACAAGTTAGATTTCAAGGTTGCTATACCAGGCCAATTGGTTTAGAACTCCTCTCCTCAAATATGTAGACTTAGCCAGTATAAAAACTGAGATAAAAAAATGGCAGATGAAGTTGTAAAATCATTCTGCTTAAATGTTCCCTTTACTGCCGATTAATGAGATTAATCAAACTGTTTTAAGTTTGTCTGGTTTACTGAATGACGACACGCCAGTTCTAATAAATATTTAGTTATTTTTAAACTGTTGGCCTTCCACTAAGGAAATGAAGTGTTTAGTCATTTGAAATATGTCTAATATAAAGGAATTAAAAAAAAGCCCTTTCTCTCATAAAGAAGTTTGTTTCAGTTAATAGACTTTCTTCAAAGAGTAGACTTCAAAAAGCCATACAAAACTTTCTACGGATTTCCTATGTGGTCTTCAGGATGTATATTTTACATACACTACAGTATGAATCAAAAATACTCACAGTTAACAATAACATCGAGTGTGGAGCCAAGATAATAGAGTGTATGGGATAGAAGAAAGCATTTTTTTTTAATTTTGTTTTGCTCTGTTTTTGCCCACACATGAAGTGAGCACGTGGGTCGCAGATGGGGATTTTTGTCATCCACATCTCCAATTTGAGAGTAGCGATAGTTGTAGATGGGACGGTGGTCTTGCTATTGTCCACTGGTTTATTTATTTATTATGCTCCATCCTACCACTCTGTACTCAGGGAGGCTTTGGGGTCCACGTTTCTTGTCACCAGCCGCTAGCAATGCAGTTCATTTCATTTACCTCTCCAAGGACTTAACAGAAGGCCTTTAATGTAACATCTCCCCACGTATTAATATGGTGCTTTAATACTAACGTAATTAGAGTCTCTAGAACTGTATTCTACATTAAACTTTTATAACTCTGTAATTGAAATAAATCCTCAACCCAACCCAGTCTTAATTATGGTCATATAGTTGAATATGCTTTAAAGTAAATAGGACTTTCTCCCCCTTCTCTCTGTGACCCGAGTCTGAGTGGCCTTTTCTCTCCTGGTAAAGTTAAGGCTATCAGAAACCGTCCTCTGAAGAGTTAATTTCTCATGAATACATCTCTATGAAGCAAAGAAAAAAGCCAAGCTTTTATTTAAAATTTTCTGCCTATGGGCATATATCTGTCACTGACTAAAACCACTTCAACCAAGCCAGTGGGAATTTAATTACAACAGATAAGCCTTTCTGGTTTCCTCTGTGAAAACCAGCACACATATACCTGAAGAGTGGGTTTGCCTGTTCAGTGGATGTGACTGCCAAAGATCTACTGTTAATTTGAGAGTCCAACAAAACAACATTCAAACATCTACCCTAAGACTAGGAATGGGACCCACATCCTCTCAAAGGCTAATCATTCCTAAATGGGGTGGGCATGGGTGCAGAGAAGGGTAAGGGGAGAAGGGGAGGGAGGTAGGAATAGAAGGAGGCTTAATGGAAAGAAAGGAAATCCTTAGTTTTAAATTGAGGAGGTTTGGAACAGAGAGTTTTTTTTGTTTTGTTTTGTTTCATTAGGGTTCATACAACTCTTATCACAATCCATACATACATCAATTGTGTAAAGTACATTTGTACATGCATTGCCCTCATCATTCTCAGAACATTTGCTCTCCACTTAAGCCCCTGGCATCAGCTCCTTATTGGCACCAGCCCCTCTTTTTTTCCCCTCCCTCCCCACTCCCCCATCCCTCATGAACCCTTGATAATTTATAAATTATTATTTTGCCATATCTTGCCCTGTCCGACGTCTCCCTTCACCCACTTTTCTGTTGTCCGTCCCCCAGGGAGGAGGTCACATGTAGATCCTTGTAATCGGCTCCCCCTTTCCAACCACCCTCCCTCTACCCTCCCAGTATCACCACTCACACCACTGGTCCTGAAGGGATCATCCGCCCTGGATTCCCTGTGTTTCTAGTTCCTATCTGTACCAGAGTACATCCTCTGGTCTAGCCAGACTTGCAAGGTAGAATTCGGATCATGTTAGTGGGGGTGGGGAGAAGCATTTAGGAACTAGAGGAAAGTTGTATTTTTCATCATTGCTACATCGCACCCTGACTGACTCGTCTCCTCCCTGAGCCCCCTCTGCAAGGTGATCTCCGGTGTCTGAGTAAATATAGTCTCTTTTCCAGCAATATACCATGAAAATATATTTGAGCAATAGTTGATGACATGAACGTATTCAAGAAAACTAAATTCCTTTTTTATAGTTTCAACTCATTAAGAATTGGGTCTAATAGAGTTAGAATACTTCTATAGTAGGAAGGCTTCATTAAAAATATATTGAGCTTTTTTACTTAAACCATATATACATGTAAATGTATATATAAATATTGTATATGTGTATATTTATATAGATATATAGTGTCATATATGCATGTATCTTGGCCTGCAAATATGTACACTTATAAATAAGGTAAAATAAAGATATATTAAAAATCTTGCTGAATTCTGTGCATAATAATATTGAACGCACAAGTTTGTGGCTGCATACATGCACATGAATACACACACACACACACACACACACACTGGATTTTATGGTCAGTAATGATTTCACTCATTTTACAAAAGGGCGTGAATGCTAGCTCTTTTACTATTGCCACATCTATTGAGTTATTGTGATATCCTAGGAGAGGTATAGAATGTTTAAACAGTCATGACCCTGGCTTATTGGACCTACAGTATAAATGTGTTTGCTGTCCAGATTCTAATTTGGGTAATTACATTCTGCCTGTCTCAATTTCCTTTGAAGTTTCAATTATATATAATGGGGTTCTCTGCTTTCTGTGTCAAAACGGTAACATACTTTTTGTGTATTAAGTTTAAAACTTCATATTTCCTTTGGAAACACTTTATTACAGTGGCAATGGAAAGCAGTTAGGTTTTTTTTAATTTCTTATATTTCTCCTTATCTTAAAAAAACAGGTGCTTTATTATACTGTATTTGTTATTTTAATTAAATAACAGTCTGTGTTATAGCTTCAAAAATATTGGGGTTATATTTAAATTTAACGTATAGTAAAAAGCTCTTCTATTATTAGAATTAATGACAGAAATCTTGAAAAGAGCAGACCATCCTTGCTCTCCTCCCCCTTCTCTGCCTGCGCTTTGTGCAGACCTGGCTGTGGGGATCATGGCCATCCAGGAGGTGGGCCTATGAGTCTGTGATATTTGTCGGGGTCTGGTTTACCCTGACAGAACCATCTCAGGGCCTCCTGCCGAACAGAGTGTGGGGAGCTCTCTGCTTTCAGAGCAGATGAGAGGGCCACGTGCTTGGAAGCAAGCACACCTTGGAGGTGGTATCCAAAAATTCATAGAAAAATCACATCGTTTGTTCATGTCATCTTTCCACGGATATTTTGAACTCTGGTGGTGGTGCAGTGGTCACTCACTGGGCAGCTAACCCTAAGGTCATCATGCGCTCCATGGGGCTTTCCTCTCTCATAAAGAGTTTCCAGGGTGGCCGGCCCCAACCCCAACTATGTGGACAGCCCCCTCACCCCCAGAAGATTCACTTCAGAAGACAGAACTGAAGCTGCAGCTCAGGGAGAAGGATATGTCTGATCAGAGCACACAGGAGCAAACAAAGGTGGAGGTAGAGAGAGTGGAGCACATCCTGGCCCACCAGGCCCTGAGGATGATATTCCTGCTCAGAGCAACCAATGCACAGAGAGGACCATATGGCCTGCCCTACCATGAGACACAATGCCCCTCACTGACCCATAGCACTACTGGGAATAACACTGGAGACGCAGTGCGGGAATTGTGTCCAATCTGGCCCCACCACACCGAGGCGAGATGCTGGGGATATGCAACAGAACAGCAAGGGGAGCAGAGCAATGAAGTCCCCAGGGAATACCAAAAATAGACTGTGGGGCCAGGGTATGGCACCCCATCAGACTCTACCGGAAAACTAAAGGTCAACAAATAGACCATGAATTATTTATAGGCTTTTCTTTTTTTGTCATTTATTGTTGTTTTGTGTTCTTTTGTTGCTTTGTTCTGCTCTGTCTTGTTTCTGCGCATATTATTGTCTCTGCATGTCTATCTACACAAGAGAGGCGGGATAAACAATCCAGAGGAGACAGCAACAGGACTGATGGTTCTTGGGGGACATGGGAGAGGGGGAGGTGGGGGGAAAGGAAGTGGGTGTTAACAAACCCAAGGACAAAGGAACAACAAGTGATCTAAAATCGATAGTGAGGAGGGTATAGGAGGCCTGGTAGGGCTTGATCAAGAGCATTGTAGTCGAGAGGAATTACTGAAACACAACTGAATGACTGAACATGATAGAGGGACAATAGGAAAGTAAAAGGAAATAGAGGAAAGAACTAGGAGGCAAGGGGCTTTTATAGAGGTCTAAATACAGGCATGACATATGTGAATATATTTATATATGATGATGGGAAAATAGATCTATGTACATATACTTATAGGTTTAGTATTAAGGTAGTAGATGGACATTGGGCCTATACTTAAGTACTCCCTCAGTGCAAGAACACTTTGTTCTATGAACTTGACATTCCACAATGCTCATCTTCCCGACACAATCGCTAAACACAAAGTGGGTGCATAAGCAAATGTGGTGAAGAAAGCTGATGGTTCCCTGCTCTCAAAAGATATAGCATCTGGGGTCTTAAAGGCTTGCAGACAAACAAGCAGCCTTCTATCTGAGAAGCAGCAAAGCCCACATTGAAGAAGCACACCAGTCTGTGTGATCATGACGCATTGATGGGATCAGATATCAGGTATCAAAGACCCAGAACAAAATATATCATTGTGAATGAGGGGGGAGTATGGAGTAGAGACCCAAAGGCCATCTGTAGGCAATTGG